TGCCTTTTGTCTTAAGTATGATCTTAACTAGGTTTTTGGTTGATGTCCTTTATTTATTTGAGCAAGTTCTCCTCATTCCTTGCTTTCTATGAGTTGTATTTTTTATTTTAAATCATGAATTTTTTCTGCGTCAATGAATAGGATCATGATATTTTTTTCTTTTGTAACTTGTGAATGTGATAGCTTACATTGATTTTTTTTTTTTTTTTTTTTGCGGTATGCGGGCCTCTCACTGTTGTGGCCTCTCCCATTGCGGAGCACAGGCTCCGAATGCGCAGGCTCAGCGGCCATGGCTCACGGGCCCAGCCGCTCTGCGGCATGTGGGATCTTCCCGGATCGGGGCACGAACCCGTGTCCGCTGCATTGGCAGGCGGACTCTCAACCACTGCACCACCAGGGAAGCCCTACATTGATTTTTAATATTCAACCAGCCTTGCATTCTAGCAATAAACCCCATTTGGTCAGAGTGTATAATTCTTTTTATATATTGCTGAATTATATTTGCTAATATTCTGTTAAGGATTTATGTGTCCGTATTTATGAGGGAGTTGGTCTGCATTTTTCTTGTTTGCCATTTTCTTTTTTGTTTTCTGTTCCGTTTTTTATTTTTGCTTTCTTTTTCTTGCCTTTCTATAGGTTATTTGAACTTTTTTAAAACAATTGCATTTTGATTCATCTGTAGTGTTTTTGAGTGTATTTCTTTGCAAAGATTTTTTTCTAGTGGTTGCTCTAAGTACTGTGTATACATATGTATAACTTATCACATCCTGCTGGTGTTGATATTTTACTAGTTAGACAGATGTAGAAACTTACATACTTTAAGTTCTTTTATCTTTCCCTGTTTATAAGGTAATTATCTTAAATATTTCTTCTATGTATGTTGAAAGGCATATCAGACAATGTATACTTTTTGCTTCAAACATCAACATAATTTAGAAAACTGAAGAGGAGGAGGAAAGCCTATTGTATTCACCCATATTTTTACTTACCATGTTCTTTATTCCTTCTTGATATTTTCAGGTTCCTTCTTTTTTTGTTTCAATTCAGGGTTGACATTTCTTTTATTTCAGCAATTGAAAAATATTGTGCCATTTCTTTCTGGCCTCCAAGGTTTCTGATGAGAAATTTTATCACTGTCATTGGAATTGTCTTTCCCCTTTAGATCAGTTGTTGTTTCTTTCTTGCCTCTTTCAAAACAGTTTGTCTTTAGTTTTTAGGTTGATTATGATGTGTCTTGGCACAGATTTCTTTGTGTAATTCTTGTTTGGGGGCTTATGTAGTTTCTTGAATCAGTAGGCTTACATGTTTTGCAAATCTGGGAAATTTTCAGTCATTATTTCTTCAAATACTTTTTCTGACCCCATCTTTCTCCTCTCCTGGAACTACAATGACATGAATCTTCTATTATTTTAATTATATATTATAATCACCAAAGTCCCTGAGGCTCTGTTTATTTTATTATTTATCTATTGTCTCTGTTTTTCAGATTGGGTTATTTCTGCTCTATTTTCAAGTACATTGTTGTTCCTCTGTCCTTTCCATTCTGTTCTTGAACCCATCCATTTGCTTTTAAAATTTCAGTCATTTTTCAAAAAGTTCTAAAATTTCCATTTTGTTCTTTTTGTCTTCCATTTCTTGTTCTAGAACTGGAAAGTTCAGCAGTACATTCTTGACTGCTACTAAAGGAAAAACATCTTAGTTCTGCCCTTTGAAGCTATGTAAAATAAGAATACTAAGTGATAAGTATTATTATCTAAATATTAGCAGTCCTGATAGTTCAGGACTACTTTCTATATATTTTCTATATGTATTGTATATGTTCTGATTACCTTATTTAATTCTTACAGTAACACTAATATTTACTCATGTAAGAAATGTTTACTGAGGGCTTACCTTATGTGACTTTTTTTGTTTGTTTGATATTTTTGCTTTAGCTTCAAATGGTCAGACAGCTGACTTCTTATTTATGTACAGAGGGAAAAACTACATTTCCGCAATTTTGGTAGTTTGTAGGCATACGGGAGAAGAGAGATTGCAAGCTGAAGTCTCACATCTTCACATAAACCAGCCAAAAATTTTTATTTATAGTCTCCATATTATATTTAATCCAATTCAGAGATTTATCAATACTTTGTTGTGGAACAGTGGTATATTTCGAAAGAGTTACAGGTTTTCTGAAATACAGATATGCTCAGGGTTTTGGGTAGCCATAAAATCTTAATTGTCATTTGTGCAGTGAAAAGGATTGGGAAGCACTTCTCTAGTTAACAGGTTGAAGAATGTATTTTTTTTCCCTACAAATTGAACTTTGCATATGTTAATAGCACAGCTTCATCATCCTACACAAAGAAACTTCTGTGAATATACTAAAAACTATTGAATTGTACACTTTAAATGGGTGAGTTTTATGGTATGTGAATTTTATCTCAATAAAGTTAAAAAAAAAAAAAAGAATTGTCTCCTGTTCTTCTCAAACAGTGAGATCAATCACCTGGTGGGCTTGTTAAACCAAATTTCTAGGCATCACCTACAGAATTCCTGATTAAGTCTAGGTGGTACCCAAGAATCTGCATTTCTAACAAGTTCCCAGGTGCTATTGATTATGCTATTTTAGGGATTTTGTGAACCATTCATCTACCCAGAATTTTCCTACTTCCTCATTTTCCTTTGACTCTTCAGTTACTTCAGTCTGATTTTAATTTCATCATTCTACCCAGAGTGCTTTTTCTAACATCCTTCCTGATATTAATGTTGCCAAATCAAATGCATAATTTTCAGTTCCTTATCTTAGGTGATGTGTAGAAATCATTCTGTAGTTGATTTCCCCTCCTGTTTAAGAAATTCTCTTTCTCTTTGGTCTGGAGACCTCCATCTTTCTCCCTCCTTTCTTCTTTTCTATCTCTACATGCTCTCAGTCTCTCTCTCTCATCTCAAATCAAACTCTGTTAGAATTCAATCTGGGTCCTCTTCATATCTTACCTTACTCTTTGTTTGTCCTTCTTAACACTCTTATTTCTACCTCCAAAACATCTCTCAGTTCCCTTTCTTACCATGTCTATTACCATCACCTATGTTCAAGCCATAATCACCTGTTGCATGAGTTATTGCAACTTTTTTTAAAAAATAGATCTACTTATTTATTTTTGGCTGCATTGGGTCTTTGTTGCTGTTTGTGGGCTTTCTCTAGTTGCAGCAAGCGGGGGCTACTCTTCATTGCGGTGCGTGGGCTTCTTATTGCGGTGGCTTCTCTTGTCGCGGAGCACGGGCTCTAGGTGCGTGGTCTCAGTAGTTGTGGCGCATGGGCTTAGTTGCCTCGCGACACGTGGGATCTTCCCAGACCAGGGCTTGAACCCATGTCCCCTGCATTCGCAGGTGGATTCTTAACCACTGCACCACCAGGGAAGTCCTGCAACTGTCTTTTAACTCATGGTGTCTTCCAACCCAACCTCTCTTTAGTATTTAGATTCATCTTTAAAAAATGTAAATGAGTTCATGTATCTTGCTTAAAATCCTTCAGTGAATGAAATTCATAATGTTTAAGATGGTATAAGAAGCCCTCTCTAAACTGGTCTATGTTGCCTCCCCAGTCTCATTTAGCACCATATTCTCCCTCAGTCTTTTTGGTTCAGACACACTGGTGTTCCATCAGTCTTTTTACAGTACCATCTTGTTACTTCTTCCTGGAATGCTCTTTCCTATGCTTTTCATCTGCCTTTATCTTTACCTGTCCTTTAAGTCACATATTTCAGTTCTCATCTTAAACATCACTTTTCTTAGAGGTGTTTACTGACCCCCAAATCTAAATTAGATGTTATTGTACTCTTTCAGTGTTTTGTACTCTCCTATATGACACTGATGATTTGTATATTGCATTTATCTCCATTCTACTGCATGTCTCATTACCCCTTATGCTAGACTTAGCACAATGCATAGCAAATGGAAGGTGTTTACTAAATATTTTTAAATAAATGAAAGTATGAATAGAGCTTAAAAAGACATGTGCACATATAGATGAAAAAATTCTTTTTCAAAGGTAAGGCAAATAAGGAGCACATAAGTTTGGGAAATGGATATTCATTCTTAGTTGCCAATTACATAAATTGTCTGAAAAAATTATTTTTAAAGAAAATTTATTTTTTAGGAGAATGCAATTTCTGAAAAAAACCTTGAAAAATTGTTTCAAAGTAATATTAAGTAATTCAAGATATTTAAGGAAAGTTTATTTCTACTAATAGAAATTGAGTGAACCTGTTTTGTCCTTTTCATATAATCTTTTGTGTAACCAATTCTTTTTTTTTAATCACTCAAAATTTTTAGGCGGTTTCAGCATTATAAAGAATATCATACTACCTTCCAGAAACAACCTTTAAGTACTTCACTTTTAATTGTAGTGTTTATTAGCAAACCACTGTTTAATTTTTTAAATGTTCCTTAATCTTTGGAGAAAAAACTCATGTCTATATGCCAGCATGAAAAAAAATAGCACGAGTAACAGACCTAGCTGAAAGTCTTTTTCTTTTTCAGAATATATAATTTTTTTTGTTTCTATTCCTGTTTATTATTAGCCTTTTCTCTTCCTGCAGCACTTTTGTCCTGTAGGGTCTGTCTAGAGTACATAAACTATATATTCTGTATTCTATAAATTTTAGTCATTTGAAATCTTAGCTTTCTCTTGGTAAATATAGTGAGTGCTACAGACAAAGTTCTTAAAACCGGAGAGGATCACACAGTTTAAAATGTTTATTATGTCTTTCTCTGTCCTTTCTTTTGCCGTCTCCTTTACTTCCCTCTTTTGTCTGTCTGACTCTCACAGGAGACATGGATTACAACTGGTTGGACCATACGTCTTGGCATAGCAGTGAGGCATCCCTAATGTCTTTGGTGAGACATGTGGAGCCTTACTTTTTAATTTCCGTTATCATTTCACTTTTCCTTTTTGATTTACACCTTTGCATGTTTTCTTTTTTGTATTTTTTTTTTTTTTTATCCCACACCTGTAGGGGACAGTCAAAAGGGAAAAAGAAAAACTAGTGAGCAGGCAGTTTTGTCGGACTCTAACACCAGGTCTGAGAGACAAAAGAAAATGATGTACTTTGGTGGCCACTCTTTGGAAGAGGATTTGGAATGGTCTGAGCCTCAGATTAAGGACTCTGGGGTAGATACGTGTAGTAGCACAACCCTTAACGAGGAGCATAGCCATAGTGATAAGGTACTGAGATTGTGGAGCCTGCCTTTTAACCTGCTCATTTGGTCTTCGTTTGCTCTCTGTCACTCATTCAAACAGAACATAATAAAAGGACAGGGCATTTCAAGGGTCAATGTAGCATTTCTTAAGGTGCAGAAAAGAAAAACAAAACCAAAACAAACTAACCAACCAAAATACTTCTTGCTTGCTTTGCTGTTTTTGTTTTTTGACGGCATACCAAAAATAAGTAATTGAAAATAAAAATTAGGAACAAAGGAATGTTTTGTTTATGGTCGCATGAAAGAACTTTGTAATGTTATTATATACCACAAATATAAAGAATTTTTTTGGATTGGCTTATTTGATTGCTTGCATATATTTTCCTTGGGATGAAAATTAAATTATCAACAGTTTGAATCCCAGGCAAAAGGGAGATGATTGGGTCTGTTTGCACAGAAAAAGTTGTTTTTCTTTTTTCCCTTTCACTGTCATTTTGCTCTTTTGTTATATTGTCATAGCATTTTAGTGTAGTATTAATTAGTATTAGAACCATTGCCATCTGCTTTGGTATTTATTATTTTGCTTTTACTATAGTGAGACTTTTGAAATCTTTTTACCATATAGATGTGATTTACTGGAACTTGTCTTTTGCCTGCTAAGTTTTGCATGAAGATGTGCATGTTACTTTCAGATAACTGTGAAACTGTGATTACACAAATCATTTACTTTGTTATTTGATATATGATTTATAATGGAATGGTATCATGATTTATAAAAGGCTTGGTTCTGCCTGAGATAAACTACTAATATTTTCAAAGTTGTTTAACAATGGATACCATTGAATTATCAAATAAAATTAATTTGCTAAATAGATCAGAGACCTGAAAGAATCAAGGACCCTCCAAAAAGTGAGAAATATAATCTATCATCACCTTTGAATTAGGCCTGTTTCTCCCATGAACGTTCATTTGGAAAGTTACTGGAGCTTGTGTATTTTTAATAATTTTAATCTAGAAACCTACTTCAAGAAAGCCCTCATCAGAGGTTCAAATTCATGTTTTAATATAGTGTGACCTTTTAACTTTTACTGTAATAAAGTCTTTCAAAGTCTTCCAAAAGTGTTTGAAGATTAAATGCTCATTTTTAAATGAGTTCGATCGCATAGAATTGCAGTCTCTTTTCTGCTTGTGAATTTTTAATCTTCAGTGTGTAGATAATTAGAGTTTGCATGTGTTTTCAAGCTTTCTCAGATTTTGTAGAACTATAGAACTTCAGTATTGTGTCAGAGCACTGTTAGAATTTGCAGTAACTGGATTTTGAAAAAACTTGAGATTATTAAAATGAGGTTATAAACATAATCTAGTAAACCCTTTTGATCAATGTTTTGAATAAAAACTGGTTTGTGTAATCATAACACTTTGGAAGTTGGAAGTTTAGAGAGATTGCACACTAAGGGGTCATTTATCATAAAATAACATTAATTTTGTGTTTATTGATGCAATATGTCAGCACCCTGTGACGTGGCAGCCATCTAAAGACGGAGATCGTTTAATTGGTCGCATTTTATTAAATAAGCGTTTAAAAGATGGAAGTGTACCTCGAGATTCAGGAACAATGCTTGGCTTGAAGGTATGTGATGAAATATATGAGATGTTGCTCTATACTCATTTACAGATTAATCAGAAAAGCAAAAGATATAATAACACTATACCAATTTAGTGGGGTTTTTTTCTATTTTCAAGAATTCCTAAATATTTGCACTCATTATCCAAAACCTTTTCATTTTCCAAGTATTATTTAAGAAGTTGCCATTATTCTACAATAATACTTATTTATATAATTTTGGAAAATAGAACTTGAGTTACATACTTGGGTTCTTCAAACTTATTTTACCTATAGTTTGTCCTTTAAGTCTATATATGTGTTTATATTCTTTTAAAATGATAGCTTCGTTCAATTATTAAATGTACAAACTTGGGAAATACATATATGTATTACATATTACATAGGAATGTAATTTTTGTATTAGAGTAGCAAAATGTGTGTGCGTTTGTGTGTATTTGTGTGTGTGTGTGAGAGAGAGAGAGTACTGTTTGAAGTCTGGAAACTCAAAAATACTTATGTTAGGAGATTTAATATAAATATTGATTTATATTTTACTGTAAAATACCAGATAATTATTTGGTAAGTACACCAAAGAAAGCTCTGTTTATTTTTTGTGCATCTATAAGGTGAATTAAAAACTGAAATGCGAAGAGAGTAAATGTTTTAGAGTTAAGCCATTGCTACAGAAGTAGTTGTGTAGATTCCAGTAAGTGAGATATATTTGAAAACTTTGGTTGTAAATAAAATTGAGCATCACTTATTGGCTGGTTGCCATGCAGTTGGCACTCATCTGAGCACTTTATATCTATCATTTTATTAACACTCACAACAGATAAGAAATAAGCTTAGAGAGGTGTCATAACTTGCCCATGGTCTTAAAGATGGTGATGAAGGTGAGAATTAAATCCAGATCTGCCCAGTATACTGTTAGAGCAGTGTAGTATAGAGGTTGAAAAGTCTTGGCTTGATTTCTAGTTATAGCATTACTAGCTACATGACGTTAGGCAGCTAAACCTCTCAGCCTCAGACTCCTCCTCTGTACAATGGAGATAATAATACTTACTGAATTATTATCTAATAAGATTAAATAAAGCAGTATACAAACATTTAGTACAGTGCCTAGCACTCTCAGATTTCCATAATAATATAATCAGTATAATTATTATTATTAAAGTTTATCAAGCCAAGAAACTTTAAAAATATTAACACAGGGGGCTTCCCTGGTGGCGCAGTGGTTGGGAGTCCGCCTGCCGTTGCAGGGGACACGGGTTCGTGCCCCGGTCTGGGAGGATCCCACATGCCGCGGAGCAGCTGTGCCCATGAGCCATGGCCGCTGGGCCTGTGCGTCCGGAGCCTGTGCTCCGCAACGGGAGAGGCCACAACAGTGAGAGGCCCGCGTACCGCAAAAAAACAAAAACAAAACAAAAAACAAAACAAAAAAAATTAACACAGGGATTTCAGCCCATAATATCTATATATATAATTTTCAGAACCAAACATAGGAATAATGAGTTAATATTAACTGAACTGCACCTGAGTGTAATTCACTGCACCTGGGGACTAAATATGGAATAAGATAAATCAATGATTTTTGAATTCTGTATTGTTCAGTCAATTTAGAAGAGGAAGAAAACTATTCTAGTCAATGAAGTTGGTTACTATTATTTGCTTAAAGTTGATATATTGATTGAATGGCAGTTAATGAGAATCAGAGCATTAATTTTTAAGAGGCCAGTCTTATAGCTACACATATGACTTCACAGCATTATTGCTAACCTTTGTTTTTTCTTTTTCTGAAAGATATGTATTAATAGAAATGTAAAAGCAGAAAAATTGGGATGCAGATGACCTAAAGTTTACATTAATTCTGATGAGATTAAGTATATTTTGTAACTTTCTCAGGAAAAATGCATCATCATGGTCATCATGTGCGTTATCAATATGCCCAAATATTACCCACTAATAAAAATTTTAGAAGATATGATAATATAGTAAAAGTAACAAAATATATATTATGACATTTGACATCTATAACTAGAAATGTTAATATAATTATATAGTACTGTAATAAGTTTTTAGAAATGACAAAAGTAAGAATTCTGTAATAAAGGCAAAAATTATAAATTGTTAAGTTGTTTCTAAGGTATGAATCATTTTCAACAAATAATTGATTAAATTGTTAAACATTTGGAATATGTAGAGTCCACACTTGGGACATGTACTCAGTTCCTATTAGTAACACTATATTATTTAAAAATTATTTTTAGCATATTAAACTATAGTTTCAAAACCTGCAAATTGTCTAGTTATTTTTTACTTGAATCTTCAGCTGTGTTCATCGAACAATATGCTTGTTTTAACATTTTCTTCTTTTAAACAGGTTGTAGGAGGAAAGATGACTGAATCAGGTCGGCTCTGTGCATTTATTACCAAAGTTAAAAAAGGAAGTTTAGCTGATACTGTAGGACATCTTAGACCAGGTAGGTTTCAATCTTTGATTATTTACATTTAAACTGTTAAACTTGAGTAGTTATGAAAAAGTTATCCTCATTTAGAAGTGACTTCACCGATAATAAAAAGTTCATTTAACTTATATTAATCTTTATTCATTAATGGAAAGTTGTAACTACTAGTTTTTGAGTCACATTAGATAAAAATATTTTTATATTTACTGATCTTATTTTTTTGCTGATGGATATTCCTAGTCTGTATCTAGGATTAGATTAACCTAATTTGTTTCCCATAAGCCTTCCTATTTCTTTTGAAGAACTTCCAATGTAATTTAGGAAACAAACTTCATGGATAAATACATATTTCCTGAAATGTGTCACTCCTTATCTCTTTGATAATGGATACTATTGAAGAGATCCTTGAGTGCCTTGGAGAGGATTCAGTAAGATGCATAGTATTAAGCTTTTTACAAAAGAGTCTAGACAAGGTGCTCAGCTGCATGTATATTGAGAATCCTAGAATAAAGAGTTATAAAATTTTCAAAGAGACAACTTATCTTAATAGTTTCTAGAATTGGAATTTCTATTGAGAAATCACAGAGACAAGAGTGATGTCACCAAGTTGGAGACATAGGTTGTTCCCAACTTGCTTCCCCTTGCAAGAAACACAACTAACAACTATTCAGGGACAAGACATCATTGAGAAAATTATAGAAATCACAGATACAACTTTTATGTAATCTTTTCCTCTGACCCTTCCTTGTCCTTTTGTGTGAAATACACTAATCATCCTGGTCATCAAATTTTATGCCACTGGAGCTGTTCTCAGTATGTTTCTTATTCCATAAAGGAATTTTGTTCTACAAAATTAATCGCAGTTTGAGACGGCTTTTGTTTCGAGTGCATTTTATGGGATTAGTTTTTCTAAGATTATCATTACTGACACACACTGTAGGTGATGAAGTATTAGAATGGAATGGAAGACTATTGCAAGGAGCCACATTTGAAGAAGTATATAACATCATCCTGGAATCCAAACCTGAGCCACAAGTGGAGCTTGTTGTTTCAAGGCCTATTGGGTGAGTTGGTTTGAATACTTCATACATGTATAAAGTTGACTACTATTAAATAATTTGTAATGTGCAATCCAATAATGTCTGATAGCTTTATAAAACTAAATTATTTTGAGGACAATGCTTTTTTCTCCTTTACTAAAAATACCTCACCAAAAATCATGACATCTTTTTATCTGATCATGCTAGAATATACAGTTAATTACAAAAGAAGAAGGGATATTTAGGTGTATTATTTTTATTATCTTAGTAGCTCAGGAAATGGATAAAAGAATTAGTGGAAGGGGACTGTAGTAACAATTTCAAAAGAAGTTTCATAAGCTATGGTTCTCTACATTGTAAATATGAGAATCAACTATAGTCTATGAATTTTATATATTTTTTCCAAAATGGAGATTTCATATAAAAAAGAGAGGGCTTAAGGACATTCTATTCCTAGATGGTGGCAACTGTTTAAGGAAAAACAACATCTTTAAGGTAACATAAAAAATAAGCAAATGTCGGGCTTCCCTGGTGGCGCAGTGGTTGAGAGTCCGCCTGCCAGTGCAGGGGACGTGGGTTCGTGCCCCGGTCCGGGAAAATCCCACATGCCGCGGAGCGGCTGGGCCCATGAGCCATGGCCGCTGAGCCTGCGCGTCTGTTGCCTGTGCTCCGCAACGGGAGAGGCCACAAAAAAAAAAAAAAAAAGCAAATGTCAATTACTCTTTGACTTTTTAAGTTGCAGATAAATATAATCCTTTGTACTATGTTCCTTTCAAAAGTAATGAATCTGTCACATGAAATTATATCTATTTTTTATTTTGTCTTTTCATAGTTTTGTAATGTGGTAAAACTGTACTGTATCAGCTTAGGGTATTAATCAAATATATTTCTTAGTGTTAAAGGATGCTCTAATCATATTTTTGTTTAATGTCTTAAATATTTTTGATGCAGTTTTCTGAATGAGCTTAACCATTAATATATGCCCCTCCTGGCAAATCTCAAACAAAAATGTACATACTTTTGGTGTAAATACAGTTACAAGGTAATTATGTTAAGTCCAATAAGAAACATGTTTGCATTTTTCTCAGTAGTATTATTTTGTTTAAAAAATTTCAGTGACAATCTGAATATTTTAACTTTTGTTTTGGTGATATTTTATTTGAATTTCAATGTTCTGATTTGAACAACAGCAGGTAAAAGAGTAGAATACAATTAAAATATATCTATAAAACTTACCCTGTTGAATATAGAAATTTTTTAGAATGGATAATTGTGTAGTGAAGCACATAGGAAATAAAGTATATATTTTTACAAATCTGCTCTAAATGCTTATCAGTTTTAATTCCTTTTAAGTAGTAGGGTTAGCCCAGAACACTTTTATTAGCAAAAAGTACTATGACTTATTTTTTTCCTTATTTATATAGTGCTGCTATAATACACAATTTTGTCCATTTTACATTGTCCTATTATAATATAGTTTGATAATGATCAAAATAGCAGTTGCTACTATTTGTTGAAACAATTTCTTGTTTTTTTCTTTTTCTGTCATTTCAGAGATATACCTAGAATACCTGATAGCACACACGCACAACTGGAGTCCAGTAAGTTTCATTTATTTTAGAAGAAAATGTTATTAATAAAGTCGTTCATTATCAGGGGTCAAATGAAATCTATTAATACAAAGTAAGAAATATAATAGTGTTGTTATCAAGTATGCAGTCATATAAAGATGGAAAATTTAGTATTATTTCATGTTATTGTGGAAAAGAGTATAAAAGTCTATAATATTTTAAGATGTTTTTTTAAACCACACTGTCTTAACTACTATGTATTTTTAGATAGCCTTATTAAGATATACTACTATAAACTGAATGTATTTAAAGTGCACAGTTAGGTAAGCTTTGATATACATGTGAGTCCATTATCATAATAAAAAATAATGAACATATTATCACTCCCCAAAATTTCACTCCCTCCCCAAATTTCACCTAATTTTAAAATTTACTACTTTGTAAACTAATCCTCAGTAAATGAAGGGAATGCTTGGGACAATCTAGTGAATAATTACATATATTCTAATTTATATTTTGAGAAAATGGGGTAATAGTTCTGATTTAACAGAGTGGTAATGGAGCAATATAAGTTAAAATAACATTAAGTATTTAGACACTTTTTATTACTTGTGTTTGAGTACTATTTCAGATACTAAGCAAATGAATTTTTTCCGATGAATTAAGTTTGTTGGTTGATTGAGAGTAAGTCATGTTGTGAAAGAAGAAGGAGGAGGGTCGCACTTTGAAATACATTGATCAGGATAGACACTGAGAAGGAAGGATTGGAGCAAGATTTGAAAGAGTGGCAGTCTGAGGGAAAAGCTCTCCAGGAACAGGGACCAGAGGTTCAATGTCTCTAAGGCAGGAAAGCCTACGTTGCATTTAAGAAAAAGCAAAAAGGCTGTTGTGGCTGCAAGAGTGAGCAAGGGGAAGAATGGCAGGAAGGAGGACAGGGAAGTAATGGGAAAACAAACTGCATAGGTTTTATAAGGCACTGTAAAGACTTTGACTTTTACTCTAAGGGAAATCAAGAGCTACATAGGATGTTTTTGAGGAGAAACTTAACGTTTTAAAATCAGGCTACTATGTTGAAAATAGATTAAATGGAGTGAAAGCAGAGAGACCAGTGAGAAGACTATTTCAGTATTTGGTGAGATTATGGTAATTTAGACCATGGTAGGTGCAGCGAAGGTGGTGAGAAGCGGTTGGATTATCTATACACACAACAATTGAGAATGTACTGTTAAAATAGATGTTATTTTTTTTTACATTGTATTACAATTATGAGTATACATTTAAAAAAATCTTTACCAGAGAGGTGAAATCCTTTTAGAATGGCATAGCTCTAAACTTTAAAATATGATTGTATGACCTATTTGATTTAGTACTTTTGGCTAGTTGCTAAATCATTTTATCCGAAATAATATCGTGATCACATAAAACTATAAGTACTAACATAATGATAATAATTATTATGTATAATAATATCATCATCATAAGTGCCTGGAACTGTGCTAGATGTTGTACCTACACTATCCCACTTAGTTTTCACAGCAATCTATGAAGTAGGTAAAATTTTCATTCACTTACATTATATCACTCAGATATTGTGTGAGCAGTGTGGAATCCTTTATCTTACTATAGCTATTTGAAAAGCCTCTAGGCTACATTTCCAAAATTGTTCCTGTAAGGACAGGGGTCCTTTTTCAAATTAGATTCAATTTATGCTTTAAAAGTTGAAGAATAGCTTTCTCCAAGGCCCAATTCTTAACCTTCTGTTTTTAGTTCCTCAGTAAATTTTTCTCTTCATATGGTTTTAATTGCCATATGACTCCTAAGTTTACATTATCAAAATTATCTATCATTGTCCCTTCATCTCTGGATGTTTAAAGAATATGTTCTAAGTGTCTTCCTGTTACTTGAAGCTTAGCATATAGAAAACTTGGCTTATTTCTTAGTATAAAGGCAGCATTCTTTCCAGTTCTAAATACTATTTAAGGTTTCACCATTACTTCTGATCCCAAGGCTTGCAGTTTCCCCTTTCATTTTATACTATACTCTCTCTAGAAGTGAATTTTATCCATTTGGGCCTCCAATTAGGGAGACACTTTACAGTTTAATTTCTAACACTAATTATCTACTCAACATTTGGTCCCATCCACATATCCTGTTACCTGCTTTGCATTTCCCCTCGGACGTCTCTGAGGTGTCACAGGGTCACTGTGACAGGTTCCAAATTAACTTCTCTAGCCATTCCCTAACACACAGGACTTCTCCAGTGTTCTACAGCCCAGGGAATATCAGCACTGTCCTGTGCAGAGGACAAGACAGAAACATAGGGGACTTTCTTGTCTCCATATCTGGTTACAGGACTTGAAATCTTCATGTTTTCCCCCCTTTTTCGTTTATCTCTCATCTAATTAGTTTCTGAGTCCTTATTTTCTAATTTTATAATATTGCCTGAATTCTTTCTTTCCATTCCATTTTCTCCTCATTCCTGTTATTATTTTATTGAATTCCACTTGTTCTTAACTGTTTTCCATCTCACTCAATTCAGTCTACACTTTAAAAAGATGGTAAAGACATCTTCCTCAAATGCAGTTTTTATTACCTTACTCATAAAAGTTTAGCATGGATATTTTATTAGTGCCAAAATTTGTAGCCCAGAATTCCAGGCATTTAATTCTGTCAGTATCTCATTCGCCCCATTTTTGTTCACTTTCCAATTTGTTCCTTCCCCTCCATACAAATAAATTCGTACATATAACTTCTGGGTATTGAAGTTCTGCTTTTTCTGCTCTTCTGTATCTTTTTTTCATAGCCCCTCACTTCCTTTTTGCCCATCTAATTTATTATATTCTTCCAGATATGGTTAAAAATCACTTCCTGAAAACTTTTCACAGTTAGCATTCTAGTATTTATGGTTTTAACATTACAAGTTTAGACCATCTTTGAGTTGCTTTATTGATTTAGGTTTTGGTTTTTCCTCCCTAAGTTTCTATTTTAAATTTTTCCTGGTGTGTTATTGTAAGATATGAGTTTAGTACACACAACAGACGTAGTAACTAAGTTCTGAGGTCTGTCTCTACTATAATTGGCACAGAAAATGGTTTACCCTTGGTCTTGAGAGAATCCCTAAGCTGCACTTACGCTTTAAGAAACCTCTCTAAGTATATCTGGAACATTGTGGCTAAGAAAATGATGTATATAATGGCATTTTGTGTGCATTAAAAATAAAAGATACATGGTAAAGATTATTAAATAGTAATGAAGAGCCATTGTTATTATTCTTTATGTATAATTACCATTTCAGGTTCTAGCTCATTTGAATCTCAAAAAATGGATCGTCCTTCTATTTCCGTTACGTCTCCCATGAGTCCTGGCATGTTGAGGGATGTTCCACAGTTCTTATCTGGACAACTTTCAGTATGTAATCACTAGATTAATTTCTCTTTTTGGACTATCAAGTAGTGTTTTAACTATATGATGGTATTTTTTTTGTAAACCAAGTTCTGTTTGGAATATAATTGTGCTTTTAACCATCAACTTTCTCATTCTTAGTAATTTTAATTAATCTAAATTTAATTATAATTATCTAGCAGAGTGCTTTCTTTATTAGAGTTAGATTTTCTGGAATTTAATGAGAATTAGAATTTGTGATGCTATCTAAAACGTTTTTCACCTTAGTAATATTATTCCAAAATTCAAAGTCATGATTTTTGCTCAACTAAGTAAATAGGGAAATATATAAAAGATTACTGAGTATATCAGGTAGATTTCATATTAAGTGATCCCTAATTTGAACATTTTATAATAAAAGTTTAAAATTCAGTTAACCATCATATACCCATATTAGAAGAGCTTTGCAAATTCAGGCTCTCACATTTTATTAATTTCTAAAATTTAAAATATTAAAATTTATCCAGCTATATTTTAGAAACAAACAGATTAATATTGACACTAATTTTGTTGAGTTACTAAACTTAAAATTTTATAAGTATTAAAAACTACTTAGATTCTCAAAATTCAGACATTGAATTTTGGATAATTGTTAATGTTATAGTTAAAAACTAAACTATTCTTGGGCTTATATTTTAAGAGTAATTTCTAGCTTTTTGTTAAATCAGGTACAAAATTTCTCCTTTTATTTTCTGGAGGGAGGAGAAGTGTTTGATTTTTCTGAAGAATTTTCATTAATTAAATGGAGATACAGGAAGTATAAGCTGAATTAACATAGTAAAAGTCATTAGACACATCTGTTCTGGGATTACTTTGATCACAAAAGTGGTAATAACAGAAGAGCTATGTAAGAAAGAAGATGCGATACTAGTAGTAGATTGTAAATGTCTTACTAAAATGAATTTCTTCTCTTTATTATTTTCTTTTCCTTTCTCTTTCATAAACAGAGTGAGCTTTTTCATTTGAGGACAGTGGTGTTTTTTCCATTTTCCACAATAAGTAGCATCTTTTTATTTATTCTCTTACATATATTGACAGCGCAGATGTTGTCATTTATGGTTACGAATATATGTGTATTTTCTTCCACCATTTTAGAAAGTGCTAATAAATGTTAGCTTTTTTATTTTTAATTGTGGCTCCCTTTAAATATTCCGCCTATAAATAATGCTCTGAGTGGCTGATGATGCCAGTATATAAATAAATGTGTGTGTGTGTGTGTGTGTGTGTGTGTGTGTGTGTATGTAGTTGGCTTCAGTTGGTGGATGAGGGAGCAGAAGTTAGACTTCCATAATAAGTAAGTACCACTTTGTTGCTTCTTTTGAAATCCCAAGGCTGTATTAGAAATTGGACTAGGAGGGGAGATTGAGGAGGATAGTGCAGGCATTTAGACAGATTTCAGATTCAACTACTTTTCCTCATGGTTCAAAGTGAATATGGTAGAAAGGTAAGACTGTTAAATATTGGGGGGAAATATAAACTTAAAAGTATGTGGTATTTGTATTTATAAGTGATGTTGGTTTAAAATCCATATAACTGTAATTTAAAATGAGTACCATTTTATCAATTTTTATGACTCAGAAGGAGTATGTTCCAGCAAGATAATGTTTATAAATATAATACATATTTGTTTTGGTAAATCTAGAAAGCACAGATAAATAAATAAAAAATAAAAATCACCTGTAATCTTGCCACTAAAACATAATCATTCACATACATATAAAGTTTGAAACAAAACTGTAATAAATCTGTGTATACTATTTTGAAACTTGCTTTTTCACTAGTAATATATTGTGTACTTTTCCTTTAAACATTTTTCTTTAAAAATTCCTCCTAAAATGATTTTAATAGCTATTTAATACTCCATTTTAACTTAATTTGCTATTATAGGATATCTTGCTTGTTTCTAATTTATAGTATTTTAAATAATGATGCCATGGAAATCCTTGAATATAAATCTTGCATATTTTGTTAGGTCAAAATTCCTTTGTCAGAATAACTTTTCCAGATGTAACAATATGAAAGAAAAAAAAGTTTTAAGATTCTTGAAATCTTTTACCAAAATTTTTCTCCAAAATATTTTTACCAAATTAAGCTATAATTATCAATTCAAGTAATGTATTTTAAGATCTATCCCCATAATCCTAGTAGCTGAGAATACAGCAGTGAACAGATAGCCATGGATTTTACCATCATGAAACTTAATTTTATGTTCATTCTTTGCATGCAGCAAGACATAAGCAAGATACCCTTTTGGATATAGTATTTTCCTTTATATTTAACCCCATTTCTGCCAACTGGAGACAATTTTGGTTTGCTCTAATGATGTAGAGGTTGAGAAAATATTTGTCCACAAATATCATCCTTTGAGGAAACTTCTAGGAAGTCACAAGGCAACATTATGATTCCTATATCCTTCTATTCTACCTTTGGGTATTTTTGCTTTTGGTGAGATTTTACCTGGGCCCTTAGCTCACTTACAAAATCATGACGTTACTAATGCCTGACAACAAAGATAATTTGTATGTTATGTGAGCTGACCTTCCTAATATATTTATGTCAGTTCATGGACTGATATTTTCTCAAATATATAATATACGTATAATGCAAATTGTTATTTAAATTTTCATGCACAAGGCTGTTGATGACTTTAAAAAAATTATTCCATTTATTTCTTTTCCATGCTTGAATTGTGCTGCTACTTGTTATTATTCTAGGGCATAACTATGAAAGTGCCCTTAATGTATTTGGTGAGAAAATTAGTATGAGCTCACATTTATGACACCTGGACTGTATATTAGCCTTTCAGTGTCAGCACTCCCTTATTTTTTTTTTTTTTTTAGCTTTACTTATTTTTTATTGTAAACAAGTTTCTTTATAAATCTTGGAAGATTACAGATTGAATATTGTTATAATACAATCTCTGAAATTATGAAGGGGGAAATACTTCCACATTTGTGTATGCCTATGAACAGAGAATATATCCAGAGGAGTAAACCACCCTCAGAACCACGAGTTAACAGGAAAGATTTGTACAGGCAGCCAGGAATGATGATTTTGTACCCACGAAATCTAATGTGTGGCCAGCACTCTCTGGGCGTGTGCTATCTCACAGTTCTAGTTGAAAATCTTTAGTTCCAGGATCTAACATGGGATTTCCCTCCTCTTTTATTCATTAATTTTTAGTATCAAAGGGTGTAATGGTAAATAAGGTACAGTCCTTGATCTCGAGTAGTGAGAGGTAAAGTGGGGAATAGAGAACAGAAAACACACCTTCATTGCATCGAGCACGTATGTTGAGAGTGGATTTATAGAAACAATTTTGAGGAGCACTAAGGAAGGGCACCAGGTTTTTACGGAAATCAATTTCCTAGGCAGTGAAACAATGCATCAAATCTGTTTCACACAGAAAAGCTAAAGTAGAATGCCATTTTTCCAAAATCAAATGTTACAACTTTTGTGTAAACACTGGAAAGAAATTCAGTTTTTCTGGCTTTCTATCACTCCTTCCCATTATTCAGGGTGATTGGAAATAAACAGAGATAGTAAAATACTGAAGATTATTTTGTCATTGTATTTACCACTCCTAAAATTATGTTCCCTGGAAGTTCCCCATACAATTTATTTTTTTTTTAACACCTTTATTGGGGTACAATTGCTTTACAATGGTGTGTTCGTTTCTGCTTTATAACAAAGTGAATCAGTTATACATATACATATGTTCCCATATCTCTTCCCTCTTGCGTCTCCCTCCCTCCCTCCCTATCCCACCCCTCCAGGCTGTCACAAAGCACCGAGCCAATATCCCTGTGCCATGCGGCTGCTTCCCACTAGCTATCTACCTTACTACGTTTGTTAGTGTGTATATGTCCATGACTCTCTCTCGCCCCGTCACAGCTCACCCTTCCCCCTCCCCATAACCTCAAGTCCGTTCTCTAGGAGGTCTGCGTCTTTATTCCTGCCTTACCCCTAAGTTCTTCATGACATTTTTTTTTTCTTAAATTCCATATATATGTGTTAGCATATGGTATTTGTCTTTTTCTTTCTGACTTACTTCACTGTGTATGACAGACTCTAGGTCTATCCACCTCATTACAAATAGCTCAATTTCGTTTCTTTTTATGGCTGAGTAATATTCCATTGTATATATGTGCCACATCTTCTTTATCCATTCATCCGATGATGGGCACTTAGGTTGTTTCCATCTCCGGGCTATTGTAAATAGAGCTGCAATGAACATTTTGATACATGACTCTTTTTGAATTTCGGTTTTCTCAGGGTATATGCCCAGTAGTGGGATTGCTGGGTCATATGGTAGTTCTATTTGTAGTTTTTTAAGGAACCTCCATACTGTTCTCCGTAGTGGCTGAACCAATTCACATTCCCACCAGCAGTGCAAGAGTGTTCCCTTTTCTCCACACCCTCTCCAGCATTTATTGTTTCTAGATTTTTTGATGATGGCCATTCTGACTGGTGTGAGATGATATCTCATTGTAGTTTTGATTTGCATTTCTCTAATCATTAATGATGTTGAGCATTCTTTCATGTGTTTGTTGGCAGTCTGTATATCTTCTTTGGAGAAATGTCTATTTAGGTCTTCTGCCCATTTTTGGATTGGGTTGTTTGTTTTCTTGTTATTGAGCTGCATGAGCTGCTTGTAAATTTTGGAGATTAATCCTTTGTCGGTTGCTTCATTTGCAAATATTTTCTCCCATTCTGAGGGTTGTCTTTTGGTCTTGTTTATGGTTTCCTTTGCTGTCAGCACTCCCTTATTTTGATTCTTTTTAAAATTTGTGTTCTAACATAATTTAGCAGTTTTCTTGTTTGGAGGATTACTTTTGTAATTCTCTCAATATTTTAAAATTAATTTACAGCCTTTGACTAATATTTTGATAGAGTGCTAAAATAAGATATAGCCTTTAACTTTTTTCAAAGTGAGGAATGGCTCAGAATTCTTTCTTTCTATAGGA